TGCATATGCCATAGTAACATAAAATGGTCACAACTCAGTTTATTAGTATTGATAAGATGAGAGAAATCTGTTGAAAATTATAGTACGGTCAAGATAGATTAAGAAGGAATACACCTATAGTTTTAGATTTTTATATAATATAATTGTATAAATACTATTAATAATACATAATAATACACTTACTATTATATGTATTGTGATATGCGTGTATTATTAATTCACAATTTGTATGTTTATTTTATTTGGATTCTATTTACCTTGTATACCTTTTTTCCTATACCGTTCCTACACTACATTATCCGCTAATTATTTTCTCTCTCACTGCACTGCGCCAGTTGGAAGAGATCTCTTTCAGAGAAAAGCTCATTTTAACTAAAAAGTTCTTAAAATAATCGCTGTATCTTTATTCAAATGCAATAAAGAATATATAACTAATTAAAATATAAATATTAAAACTGTATATTTTGGATCTATATGTTGGATAATAACAAAGGTTCTGTATTAAATCGAAAAATATGTTTTAAACTAATTAATATTAGAAAGTGTGTAATCTTTATGTTCTATGTAATTAAATTCAATTTAGCTCATAAACCTTTATAAAGTTGATAGACTACAAACGAACCACACGGCGAAGCCATTGCGCTCGCTCTTTTCACAACTTTGTATACGTGGAAGTTTCGCCGGGAGCGGCGCGCTGTAACCTTTGTTCGACGGCTGATTGCTTTGTTCTCTGGAGGATCGAGATTTGAATTTATCATTAGAACGATTCTTGTAGAATCCGATGCGGTGAGACCACTGAAATATTCACGAAGGAAGGGTTGCTCCGTAAGCGAATTTTGTTTTGATGTTACTTGCGTGAGAGAGAGACAGAGAGAGTGAAAGACGAATACGGAATTCTTTAGCATTTCATATATTCGTGGAACCGGTGCTAAGTTTTTTCATATTGCAAGAGATATTACTGAAGCTGATGTCTCGTTTCCCGTAAAAACGAACCGTTGAAGTTGAGATGTCGTTCTATTGAAATGCTATCAAACTTTCTATTGACGTATTAGCTGTCAACGGACTTGTCAGGTGACAAACAAAAAATGTTGCTAGTTATATTTTTATGTTTGTTTGTTGCCATTTTTAATATAATAACATTATATTTAAAATAAAACTATATATATATATATATATATATATATATATATATATATATATATATATATATATATATATATATATATATATATATATATATATATATTTTATAACTCACTTTTCGTTGTAATTTTATAACTCAAGAACGGGCTCACCTATACAAACCAAATGTTTAGGCTTTGTTCGGACTATTTAGTAGATGGTTTAAGTAAAGTTTGCACAAAATCGCTCGAGCGGTTCTCCATTTATCACATTTTTTGTAATAAATGAATTTAATAAATGGTGGATCACTTTGTTAATGGGGATTTTTAAGTCAAATTCAAACATTTTTTAAGATGAGGATTGTGCTATCAAATTGAAACATTTTTCATTGTTGACAGTACAAGCATGTTGTTATGTCATTCATGCGGTCATATATATATATATATATATATATATATATATATATATATATATATATATATATATATATATATATATAAATGTAGACCTCATTACTAACAATCCCTTTCCCTCCAAGTGTGTGTGTTCGTTTATTACATTATAGCTCCTTAACAACTCAATAAATTATTACGAAATTTGGTATACACGTACGAGTACTATATGGGAGGGGCAAATGGATTGTTAGTAATGAAGTTCATTGGCCCCATTACTAGCAACAAACCCTATCAGGTCAACTTCCACGCGGTTTCCCATGGAAACCATCGTGGTAAAATTTAGTGGATTTCATCACGATGGGCTAACTGGCCTGCTTTCATTGTCACCTATCATCCTTCTCTGGTATCCCGCCAGTGTATACCGATAGCGCAGGAGGGGTTACCATTCCATTTTCACCCATTAAAAAATACTATATCGGATGGTGAAGGACATAGGCTCCTTTTTATCCCTGTTAGTAAACATATCAGGTCAGGCAGACGAGGTCGCGGGGAAAAACTAGTTATGTCACAAAACGAACCTACTTGTATACGTAACACGGTTAACTATTAACAGATTTAATTAACTACACCCATCAATATGTTGATGCCGAAGTCAATTTATTACTAAGACCACAATATCATGTGATATTTTGTAATGATTTTTTATGAGTTTTGTTTATTTCACACAAATTTAAGAGACTTCTAATTGATAGATTTATAATTATTATTATATATTTTGAATGTACAAATCATCAATAAATGATTAAAGGTTTTTTTTTTCATCTTTAAAATATATGAACGTAACCTTCGTTCCAATAATACTCTCCAATTATCCTTCCCCTCTCACCGTACTGGTTACGCTTCAAACTCTTTTCTCCTACATTCTTCACGACTCTGGAACGCGCTTCCTGATGCCATTAAGAGACTACCGACTAAACCGTCTTTCAAAAAAAGCGTTAACGCACACTTTTTATTTTTATCCGAGCAGTAAGTACTTTATATTATTCTCAATTCCGTGTATAATATAGTATATGTCATATATGTGTAAGTATATTTGTTATTTATATATATTTATTCGTTTATATTTGTAATTTTAGTACGTATGTATATCAATAATTAGTAGTACCGCATTCGAGTATTCTGACACTTCCCTATGGTTGACTGGGAGAGAATGCTTTTAGCATTAAGTCCGCCATGTACACATATTTGTACTAATGAATAAATAAATAAATAAATAAATATGAGTTTGTATATATTTTATTTTTTATAAATTTATAACTGTACCTATGTTTATGCAAATAAATAATTGATTGATTGAACAAGATTTTCATAAAAAACCATCTTCAAATGCGGGCGAAACTGGTTATTTTAATACAAAATCTGTCTAATTGAAGCTCTACTACTCAATCCGCACCAAAGTCTTGCTTCAAGCTTATGTTTTAACAGCAGATCATAAACAACTATGTAATTTCTTTGGTTGTCAGTCAGGGAGTCAGTGGATGCAGGTGGCTCAGGACCGTTCTTTATGGCAGTCTATGGGGGAGACTTATGTCCAGCAGTGGACAGAAAATGGCTGAAATAATAATGGTTGGAATTCTTTTATGGAACTTGAAATCACAAGTAACCTAACGTTGTTGAAGTATCATGAAAAGTGATTACAGTTGCTTATAAATATGAGTATATTATCATAAACATTATTAAAGGGGGGGGGGGGGGGGGAATTTCCAGGGCCACGTTTGGCAGTCGGTTTGGCAATCGCAGTTAGGCTTTGACGTTGTTTTAAGAGGGACGCTGTTGCATATCCCTTTAACCATTAAGTTCTCTTAGTGGCCTCTTACGACACCCACGGGAAAGGAAGGGGTAGCCTATTCAATGGTGAGACCACATAGGCACACGTCATATCGTATCAGCTGTTAATTTTCCACTGCTGAACATAGGCCACTACCGAAAAGGAGGTTATGACAGTAATTATTTTATGCAATTTAGAATGGCAATCAAGCTGACGGCCCACCTGATGGAAAGTGGTAACCGTCGTCTATAGACATGAGCAGTACCATGGACATAACAGAGTATAATGTTACGCCCATGATACCCTCCATGCGTTGCCATTCCTGAGGACTCAGATGTTATTCCTCTATACCCTGTAAATTCACGCCATATTCCACCCTTCAAACCGAAACACAGCCATGCAAACACAATAGCTTCACGGTAGAAACACGAATGGGACAGAGGTGTCCAAGCAATCGACTTTTGTACAGTCTCCCTCTGGTTTACTTTACTCAACTTGGTTATTTCTATCACACAATAGAATATATATCTCTTGTGTATTCTCTTTATAGAAGATCATCATCATATCAGTTCTTAACCGTCCACTGTTGAACATAAGCCTCCCCTTGGGTGGTTATGCGATTACTTGCCACGCTTGGCAGGCGGATTGGCAACCGCAGTCAGGTTTTAGAGATGTTTTAAGAGAGACGCTGCTGCTAAACCCTCGCCGTCTCCTAGTCGATTTTTACGATACCCACGGAAAAGGAAGGGGATGTAGAAGATATTTAAGACAAATTAATATGAGTAAAAAACCTAAAACAACAATTTTTAGAAATTTTGTCTGTCTGTATGTATATTTGATGTGGCATCATACAAGAATGTAATTCTTATAACTAGGTGTGGTTTATACTCTTGTGTTCCCGAAGATTAAAATTAAAATCTGGTATACGTTTTATTTCGATAGGCCATCTAGAAAGGATCATTGTTATATTATTATTATATTCTTTATTGCACTTGTAAATTATATTGTTAATGCATTTATAAATATTGTGAGCAAGGGTGGACTTATCTCTGACAGAGATCTCTTCCAGTCAACCCAATGCAGTTAGAAAGCATGATGTTAGCGGACAGCTTAAGTGCTACAACTATTAGAGTCATGTGGGGTAAACGTACGCGGCGAAAAAGTGTCCGCAGTGAACATTCTGCGAACCCCATGGATGACAACAGGTCGAGACCTATCGCGTTTAGTTAGCACTTGACCACCAAGCGAGAGTACTACGTTACAGGTTTGCTGCACAATGCTGTAGAAACTTACACAGCAGTATTGCTTTTGCACGGATTTGTTATTTTTTTTCTTTAAAATTAATTTTCATAGTTACTGAAGCAATGTTATTAGTCTGATTGTATAATAAAGTGACTGAGAACAGAAGTTATTCAATATTTTGTGTGAATCTATTTATTTTGTCTAAGGTAAGTCATACTTCGAAATTTTATTATTTTTATTTGCTTTAATGGGATGGGGTAAGTGTCCGCATTAATTAAAATGCATATACTTACCCAGTCATATTTGTTTGCTTTCTAGTTGACAAAATTGTTTCCGGAGAACGTGGTCAAACTATAACCGTAGTTTGTTGTGTTAATGCAACTGAAAATTATGTGCCGCTTGCATTTATTTTGCCTCGAAAAAGAATGAAGGGTGAACTTATGGACGAAGCTCCGGCTGGTAGCATTGGCATGACATCTGATTCCGGATTCACCAACGCGGACTTATATTTTCAGTGGCTGGTACACTTCAAGGAATGCACTTCACCAATACTGATTATTGACAATCATTCAAGTCATATCAGCTTGCAAGCTACTCTGTATTGCAGAGAGAATAACATCGTTGTACTTACATTGCCACCTCACAGTAGTCACAATATACAACCCTTGGATAGAACCATTTACAGTCCTCTAAAAAATCAGTACGCACTTGAAGCTGATAAATGGATGGCACAGCATCCTGATAGATCTATTAATCAATACCAAGTAACTTCTATTTTCGACAGAGCGTTTAAAAAAATTGCTACTGTAGGTAACGCAGTTTGTGCATTCAGGATGACTGGAATATATCCTTTTTTTACAACACAGGGGGCAAACGAGCATGCGAGCCGCATGCTCGTTTGCCCCCTGTGGTAAGTGAGTACCGCCGCCCATGATCATCCACAACACCAGCGGCATTGCAGGTATGCTGCCGGCCTTTTAAAAAGGAATATACTCTTTTCTTGAAGATTATGTTGTCGTATCGGTTCGGAAATACTACTGCTGGAAGTTGATTCCAAAGAGTGGTTGTGCGTGGAAGACGATTTATTTACAGAAGCAGAATTTGCACCATCTGCAGTTACTGATATGTGTAATCTATCTGCTGATGCTATAGCTCAAAATATACCTTCTTTGAACTCTATAAGCACAGTAGACGTTAAAGAGATACAAAGCCATAAAGTTATATCTGTTACCTTGATGGCACGACGCCTGTACAAGTTACGAAGAGGGTACATTCACATGTGATTTTTGTGCAATAGTAAATTAAGTTTACGTGCGTACACTTAACCGAAGGTGTGCGGATACTTTCCCGCCGATGCGGGTAAAAACCCGCGTTTCCCTTGTTCATTAAATTATTAAATAAAACTAATAGTTATTGTTAGAATTGAAATTTTACATTTTGTTTTTCTTCTCAAATGTTTTTAACGTTAAAATTAAAGTTTTTTTCTTTTCAATTATCAAAATCTTTTATTCTAGAAGCAATTAACTAAAAAATGCGTACGTTTACCCCACATGACTCTAATATTTTGTGTACATAAACAAATATACAGTTAAATAAAATATTAAAATACATAATAAAATATTTCATAAATACATATACTATAAATAAATATAATACCTACCTACTTATACAATAGATGTTAAAATAAATGAATATACTATCTACATTAGAAATTTAGTTAAATGATTTTAGGGTTTAACAGTTCAATTATAAAAATGAAAAATTAAGATTATGACTCAAAAGAAAGAAAATGGAACTTCAACCTTTTCTTGAAAGAGGTAATTGAAGGGCTCTCTTGTATGTGGGAAGGGAGTTTGTTCCATAATTGGGCAGCTCGATACGAGAAAGAGTTGCCCATAAAATGTGTTATACACAAAGGTAGGTTATTATTATTTTATATTTCATTAGTATCCTATGCTATTGGTTAGAATACCAATAACATAGAATTTTTTTTTATTATACAACTTCGAATGGCAAACAAGCTGACGGCCCACCTGATGGAAAGTGGTAACCGTCGCCTATAGACATGAGTAGTACCATGGACATAACAGAGTATACTGTTTCGCCCATGATACCCGCCATGCGTTGCCATTCCTGAGGACTCAGGTGTTATTCCTCCGTACCCAGTAAATTCACGCCATATCTTACCCTTCAAACCGAAACACGGTCATGCAAACACAACTGCTTTATGGTTGAAACACGAATGTGACAGAGGTACCCAAGCAATCGACTTTTCTACAAAGTCTCGCTTTGGTATATGGTAGAATACCAATGGCATAGTATTTTTACTTTTAGAATCCATGCGTACGATGTGGCGAGCAAAAAAGTAGTGTTAGAATGACATTTCAAATTTTAAAATTCACTTGCATCATATAATATAATAAGAGAATATTTCTAAATTTTATAATCTTTATAATTTAATTGCGTCTCAACTCATATTTCCGCGAAATAACCATTAGCTATACTACTTACCTAGTAATATAAATTACGAAAGATTATCATAACAGCTTCAGATCGCTCTCAACAAGATTTGAGATAACCGCTCAAATATAAATAAAGGTATCGATCCACCGAATCAGGAGTCGTTGTATGCTACAAGAAGCAAATGTAACTAAAACTTTGTTTTTGTTTTTTTTTAATTTTTTGTATAATATGTATCTTTTTTTTTATCTTTTTTCACATTGCATTTGTGTCTTTTGCTGTTTGTGTGCTGTAAGTGATGCAAATAAATTATTTATTTATCTATCTATCTTTAAAGTTTTTAGTCAAATTCAAAAAGTTGTATTTTAATTTCTTTTTGTATACATATTAAGCTTGCCTTCTTTGTCTTCGACGATTCTAATAATTGATATAAAATAATTAAGATTGTGTTTAACAAAAAAATGTATTTCTTTAATTGTGGAAAACCCAGTTATTTTTATTTTCAAACTAAACTATGGAACCAATTTTGATTAAATTTCTATGGGACCGGGATCAATCTGTAACCTTTTGTTTTATGCAACTTAGAATGGAAAACAGGCTGACGGCCCACCTGATGAAAAGTGGTAACCGTCGCCTATACACATGAGCAGTACCATGGACGCAACAGAGTATACTGTTTCGCCCATGATAACCCCCCATGTGTAGCCAGTTTTGAGGACACATGTGTTATTTCTCTGTACCATGTAAATTCACTGTCATATCTCACCTTTCAAACTGAAACACAACCATGCAAACACAACTGTTTCACGGTAAAAATACGAATGGGATAGAGGTAACCAAGCAAACGACTTTTGTACAAAGTCTCCCTCTGGTATAACAATATCATTTTGGCGTAAAAAAATTTCCAAATAGACTTACAACTGACGAATTTATGAGGTAACAAACATAAAAAAAAATGCAACCGAACTTCCTTCTTTTAAAGTCGATTAAAAGAAGCGTTTTCAGCAGTATTTACTTTAATACTCATATTATCAGATTGAATTTTTGTTACTAAAATTACTTTGCTTTAAAATGGACTAACCAAGTCAAGTAATACATTTGGTATATTGTTGATCTCATTTCGAAAGGATCCCCCAATACCCATATTATACATGCTTCTGCATAATAAAGGCAGTTGTGTTTGCATGCCTGTGTTTCGGTTTGAAGGGTGGGATATGGCGTGAATTTACTGGGTACGGAGGAATAAGACCTGAATTCTCAGGAATGGCAACGCATGGGGGGTAATTATGGGCGAAACAGTATACTCTCTTATGTCCATGGTACTGCTCATGTCTATAGGCGACGGTTACCACTTTCCATTAGGTGGGCCGTCAGCTTGTTTGCAATTCTAAGTTTAATAACAAAAAATATCATAAATTATTGTATAATGTCATACAGACTCCGGCATACGAGGATGGGATACTCTACCTCTTTCTTTCCCGTGTGTGTTGTGAAAAGCGAGTAGGGGACGTTATGGTGTAGATATGAGCAGTAGCGTTCCTCTTAAAACATCACCAAAGTCAAACTACGGCTGCCAATCCGCTTGCCAAGTATGGCAACTACAGACAAAACCCCTCATATGAGGCTGCCTAAGTCCAGCAGTGGACAGTTAACGGCTGATCTATAAACATATATATTATTTTTATAATATTTGATTTTTTAAAAAAAAATATTTTTTAATCATGTTCCATAACATTTTCGAATTTTTTTTTTATGATATATAGAATCATAAAAAAAATTACGTAAATGTTTAATTAGCAGTGCTCACAAAATTTCACAGCTCACAACTTAAAAAAAAAACAAAGTTACTTTCTGCTTCTCGTGATTATGGAACAGAGAAGCGAGGCTGCCACGAAGATGGAAAACAAGCGTACAGCCATCTGATGGTAAACCGTCACTAGCATTCGAATGCCTGCAGTATTAGGGGTTATAAAATAAGACTAGATTATACAAGATACCTTGTCAAATAATTTCTTTAATAGCATCTCTTGGAAGCTGGACAACGGGCATTGAACTGTGAAAGCGTCAGATTTCATGTTTGAATTAGCAGAGCTAAGTTCCGTAATCTTGAGGAGCAGACAGCGAGGTACCGTATAAAATTTGCATAGATTATTTATTGGTATTCTTTGACGCGTAAAGCAACAGGTTAGTTGGAATTCATTAAGTTGTATGCCATCGATGGGATATTTGGAAGCGATAAATCGATTATCTGATGCGTTACAAATATGAACAATTTATGTTACTCGAAGAAGAGTTCTGGGGGCCAATGTAAATGAAATGAAATTCCGAAGTTTCAAACTCAATTTCGTGTTTTTGTTCATACCTAAATCGGCCCAGTAAATGGAGCTTAACATTTTGTTCATCACAAATCCTACCATAAAAGTCTAAAGGAATAATATTTCAATATTTTTAATGTTTTTAAACGGCATGCATTATGTAATTTTAACATCAAATTAGAGTTTCGTTCGGCTCCAAAATTTCGGAAAACATTTCATGGTAGGCCCTCTGGATGAAGTCGAAACAAAAACGACAAATACAGTAAATTCGAATAATTCTTTTTATACTTAAATGTAAATGTATATATATATATATATATTTTACTGTCTACTGCTGACTGCTGTTTAAAGCCCAACTGCGGTTGCCAATCCGCCTGCTAAGCGTGGCAACTACTGGCAAAACCCCCCCAGAGGGAAAGACTTATGTTCAGCAGTGGACACTTAAAGGCTGGTATAATGATTATTATACATAACATTACCTACGTTTTATTCAAAATCACACAATCAAGGGCGCTTTTTTTTAATGGGTGATAATGGAATGGTAACCCCTCCCGTGCTATCGATTATCGATATACGCTGGCGGGGCACCAGAGACGTATGACAGGTAACGATGAAAGCAGGTAAGTTAGCCCATCGTGACGAATTCCATTAGAGTTAATCAAGTTTCTAGGTGGAACCACGTGGAGGTCGGCCTAACCCATTGCTAGCAATGGATCAGTTAGAACCCATTACTAACAATCTCTTTCCCCGTCAAGGACGCGTTATATAGTTTTTTTTTTTATACAACTTAGAATGGCAAACAAGCTGACGGTCCACCTGATGGAAAGTGATGACCGTCGCCTATAGACACGAGCAGTACCATGGACATAACAGAGTATACTGTTTCGCCCATGATACCCCCCATGCGTTGCCATTCCTGAGGACTTAAGTGTTATTCCTCTGTGCCCAGTAAATTCACGCCATATCCCATCCTTCAAACCGAAACACAGCCATCCAAACACAACTGCTTCACGGTTGAAACACGAATGGGACAGAGGTACCCAAGCAATCAACTTTTGTACGAGTACAAAGTTTCCCTCTAGTAGTTACAACAATATTCTTGTAAAACCATTAATCAAATCTTTACATTATACTTGTTTACAGTAGTAAACCAGTAGGTTTAACGATGTTAAAGTTATATAACTAATTTAGTGTTAAGTGACAGTTAATTTGAATATTACCCACTATTTCTACATCTGGTAAGTGACCTTTGACCTACACTTCATTAATAAGGCAATATTTATTGTAAATATGGTTATTTTAATATTATACCTCCATATTTTATACATAATAGTTGAATCTAAATTATGATTTACATTTATTTAACACTCAAACGAAACGAGGTAATAAATTTATTTACTTGTTTGTTATAATTTATAAAAAAAAAATTATTAATCGTGGTACATTATCTAAACTTATATTAAAAGGCAGAAAGATTTGATTTTACGTTTGTAACTGATAAAGTTAAAAATAAATAATCAATTTTGATATTTTTTTATTTCACATATACTCGTAGTTTTTACATTAATAGCGAATAATGTAAGCTATATTTTTTCGCCGCATGGTCCCAGCGTAG